TTACCTTTTCTTACTGACCTTTTCGAGAGTTGACTGGAAAATGATCCCTGAGAGTAGATTCTACTAGACATTAGTCCTAAGGGTTGTTAATTATATTACTGGAGAATGCTATCACATCCGTTCAACGCGAAAGCGCCTGAAGCTCGGCTACAGAGCTGCCTCCATAGCAGGGCTATGGTGCCTAACAATGGCGCTCTTTCTTTTACAGTTCTATGCGCGTTCATTTTACTCGAACTACCCCTCAAAGCAAGTCTTCAGCGAATTTGATGATTGAAATAATGAATTTGAGGAAATGTTTTGGCGCCTGTGTGAGTAGCACGGGCATCAAACATTTGCACGTCAAAAGTATAAGGCCTGGGCAGTCGAGCTTCGCTGGTACGAGTTTTCAGGCGGTAATGCCCTTAGGGACAAACTTCTACTCTATGAAAAAACCTAGCTGAATCTCGAGAAAGTGGGGTGGCAAAGGATGGATGATGCTCTTTTGTCACTGATAACTTTTTAGCTAACTCCCTACTTATTCCGTCTTTTCTGTTTTTCTTTTTTACTTCTGACTGTTCCGTTTTTAGACCCCGCCCTTTGCTGAGGATATTCGGTGGTTATTCACGATATCGGTCCAATTAGGAACGCCGTACTTTGTCAGTTTCCTCGATGCCGTTGCAAAAGCTGTATCATCACCGTTCTTGCTTTTCCAATTTGCTATGGAAGCTAACACGTGAGTTCTTTTTATTGGTGCAAAACTGTTTAGAACTGAGTTTCGAAACCAGTCACTGTTTAGCTGTGTTGCTATGAAGGTTCTTGAAGTCGAGCTTTTCAGCCGCCTCCCACCCTATCCTCAGCAGTACTCAATGCCGCCGATCAATCGCTCGGTACCGCCTCCACAGCCAAGCCATTCAAGCAAGGCATTTGCTCATGTTGCTGGAAGGGTTCGTTAATTGTCATTCCTTCTTTTCTTTCGTTTTCTTCGAAACAGAAACATTCGAGAGGTTTTGGTTTTAGAAATTGCACTTCCACGTTAAGTCAGTTAGGTCCTGGTGCAGATGCAGACGCCAATGGCTCCACTTATAAGTGCTCTTTCGCATAACAGAGAACCGCTGCTACCGTAACCCAGGTAGTCGTGGGAACCCCCTACCCTCTCTAAGCCTAAGGCGCGCGCACTGTGCACA